TGGATGCTCAGTGCTCAAGATATTGCAGCGTCAGGTTGCAGCTGATGGAAAGGCTAAGAGTGACCTGAAGCAGGTGGGCTAGAGTGGAGTTCACAGACCTGACAGGGGAAAAAATCATATGACTAAAGGTCATAAATTTGAGGACAAAGCAGGACGCAGATGAGCTGGATATAAAAGGGCAGGACAGGATATGGGTGATGGAGGAAAGCAACCAGATGGAAACCATGCTGAGCAAGAACCTGGCAGAATAGGGCAATGCCATAATAGATTTTTCTGCATTGTGGCCTATTGTTGCTCCTGAATCACCCTGTGTCCATTCTACAAGCTCTCTTGGCTACACTGACATGCTGCTAGGAGTCTCCTTCTCAGCTGCAGAAGGAATGTAGCTTTCAATTTCAACACAAGTACAGGAAGTCCCCGAGTTACAAAAATTGAACTCACAAATGACTCATAGTTAAGAAATGGGGTGAGACAATGGGAAGTGATAGAAAACTACCCCTAGGAAGAGACATCTGTAGTAAATCTAACCTTTGCTGACTAGGTCGAAGCCTTAGAATCAGTAAGCTGACATCTTGGGACAGGCAAGGAGGCAGGGGGAGGAGTCAGCCAACTCCAATAAGGGGAGGAGTTGGTTGTGAGAAGGGAAAAAGGCTGCCTCTTTTGACAAGGGGAGAGAAGGGTTTTTAACATCACAAAGGGAAGAAGGGATTTTAGCATGACAGGGGAAAGAAGGATTTTTAAGAAGAGGGAGCTGAGTAGGATTTAGACAGGGAAAGAAAGCTTTTGAAGTGAGCCTTGTGGTTAGAGAAAAGGAAGGGCAAAGGTTTCTAGATCACTGCACATTGGAGGGTCAGTGAGGAAAGCCTGATTGCTCTGTGAGACAGTTAGGGGACTGATCTCAGGGACACACTGTGTCAGAGAGGTGAACAGTGTGGAGCAGGGGACTCACAGCAAACGAAAGCTACATCCTTAGCAAAAACCATCTGTCTAACTAGCTAAGCCTCAGTAACCACATTACGCTTGTGTACCACTCATTATATGAGTTGACATATTCATCAAGTTTAATAAACCTGTTTCTAGTTCACTTTCAACTGGTGTCTGCCTCAGTCTGTTGAGCCCATCAAAACTGAGCTAGCCTAGAAACCTCCATTCAGTCCAGTCAGCGAGTAAAGCATCCATTATAGAAAAACCAGAAGCCTGAGCGCCTAGTACCTGAAACACATTCACACCTTTGTTTCCTCAGACAACACAACTGAGGTGGTGGCGGTGAAAACTACCAAAATCATTGGTCATTAATATCTTGATCACATTGGTAGCCTTATCTATATTACAGTGGTGTCCAGCGTTCTTGTTACAATAGGAACGGTCACTTCGTTTTGTTATGCTGGTGGCAGTGGTGGGATAAGAAGTCTTCCCCCCCCCCCCCGGCCGGTGGTTAGCAGCGGTGGGATAGGAAGTCTTTCCCCCCTGTTAACCCCCTGCCAGTCACTTATTTTCATTATACTGGTGGCAGCGGTGGGATAGAAAGGCTTTCCCCCCTGCCCCACGTTGAACGGTGACCTTATCTTTCCTTATAACATCCATTCCTGAAAGAGTTATCATGGGGGAAAGGTGTCTCCACTGAAGCTTTATCACCAATCCTTGTTTCTACAACATGCCAAAAATTTCAGATAACAGTAACAGAACAGGGGCACAGAGACCAAAACAAATATCACAGGGGCATTAACCTTTCTCTATGCTATCCAGAGAGTATATATATGTGTGTGTGTGTGTATGGCTGGAATTACACTTCAAAAATGTACTTGTTCCAACTTACATACAAATTCAACTTACAAGATCTATTTTGTTTGTGACTTGGGGACTACCTGTACTGTATGAACTTGCTGATTGACCACAAAGTCCTATACTGAGGTCAGCATTCTGTTCATGCAGTAGTTACAAAGTTATTTATAGGAGAGCTGGATTTTTTTTGTCGTTTCAGGAGTGACTGCAAGTCACTTCTGGTGTGAGAGAATTGGCCGTCTGCAAGGACGTTGCCCAAGGGACGCCCGGATGTTTTGATGTTTTATCATCTTTGTGGGAGGCTTCTCTCATGTCCCCACCTGAGGAACTGGAGCTGATAGAGGGAGCTCATCCGCACTCTCCCCAGATTCGAACCTGCAACCTGTCAGTCTTCAGTCCTGCCGGCACAGGGGGCTGGAATAAGTGATAACTTCACCTTCACTCGTGTCACCCAACAATTGATACACATATGTGTCATACACAGCCCTTTTACTAACAGTCTAATTCTCCAGGAATTTACATTATTTCCCTCTAAAGCCAATTGACAAAGGCTACCTCCATATTGTAGAATTAAAGGAAATTCATACCACTTAACTGCCATGGCTCAATGATGTGGATTCCTGGAATCTGTAGTTCGGAGAGGCACAAGCACTCTTTGGGAGAGAAGGTTAAAAACCTTGTAAAAGTACGACTCCCGTGATTCAACAATGTGAATGTAGCCTTTGAGTCTGGAATAGCAGGAAACAAGCTGGTTCTGCTTCAGTATGACATCCTTTCAGGTGGCTATCAAAATGTTGCAGTGAGCTTTAACCATTTAGATTTTCAACAAAATACTGCAGCCATGTAACGTTTAAAGACAAACGGTGAAGACAAAGGGCAATGGATTCAAACTAAAGGAAATATTAGGAATATTAGGAAGACTTACCAAATGCTGGGAGCTGTTAGAGGCTGGATCTACACTGCCATATAATCCAGATTAACAAATAAGATAATCTACTATCAATTTTGAACTGGATTATATGAGTCTACATTGCCATATAATCCAGTTCAAAGCAGATAATCTGGATTTTATATGGCAGTGTAGATACAGCCTCAGGCTGGATTTACAGTGCCCAGTATTCCAGGATCTGATCTCAGATTATTATTGCAAATTATCTGGCAGTGTAGACTCATATAATCCAGTTCAAAGCAGATAATTTGGGATCAGATCCTGGGATACAGAACACTGTAGAAAGGGCCTCAGACACTTGTTGGACCAAGATTGGGGATCACCATCTATTCCAATAACAGACCTGTCTGCAAAGTCACCACTATAGGAATCAAAAGCTAAAACAAACCTAATACAAACTTCCAATGAATGGCAGCCCGACGGCTTTTCCAACGCAATCTATGCCATTGTCAAATATCAGGAAGTTATTCTTAAATTTAGTCAAAATCTATTTTTTTGTAACTGACATTAATTGGTTTTAGTCCTATCATCTGAACCAGCACAAAAATAAAATGGCTTCAATTTACCACATGACAGCTCTTTAGATAGATAAAGATAGCCATCATTGCATCAGATGTCAATTCTTAATTCTCCAGGATCAATATTTCTCAGAGGACTTAGTTTCCAGACCTTTAACCATCCTTGTCACCCAACTTCTATACAATACCATTTTTGCATTTTTCTTTCAAATATTTCCTCCCTTCCCTACCAGCTGATCAAAGAAGCTTAGAAGAACTACAGAAAGATAGCACACACATACATATACAAATCAGCTAGTTACTAAAATCTAAACCCCAGAAATAGATTATTGGAACATTTGAAATCTTATTTCAAGAGGAAGAAATATGAGGTTTCTTTCTTTCTTGCAAAGGATGAAGACCACCCAACCTCTGGAGATCCTGTGCACCATGCTCACTGGGCTTTCAGAGAATGCCAATGGCACTGCCCAAGGACATCAAGAAAAAACCAGCTCACCAAAAGTCAGAGGAAGGAAGGAGGGAGGAGGGAGACAGGAAGGAAGAGGGTGGGAGGGTAGTCATATTCATTACATGGAGATATTCACATAATCTGAATTTCCAGAGAAAATTAACCATTTCATCCCACTGCTTTTAAAATATCCCAATTTGTAACTGCATTTGCTGCAGATTGAGCTCAAAGTACAAAGTAGTTTGCACATCATTAATTCAGTTAAGGAAAGAGGAAACGAGGGGAGCAGAATCGTGTCTTTCCCAATAAGTTCAAGCAGGAACAAACTGCTGCAATGTCTCTTAAGCCATGTGTGCCTCTTCAATAACGTATGCCTATTGACTATATCTTGATGTTCCCTGGCTACATAAATCCCAGTTTCCATCTGTGACATGTTGAAGGGTATGTATTCACTATTTTGCAGTTTGGATACTGGACAACTGCACCTGTATGTTATGAATGAAAAGCAGAATATATGTAGCCTTGATAACATTTTGCTACCTGTTCACCATCACTCATAGGGATAGTTAGTCACTGAAGGCTGATACAAAGACTGTCCTTATTAAGATTTCCTCAGAGGATATCTGAAGAGAGCATTTGAAAATGTAGAATACAAACAATTGGGTACAAGTTATTTACTCACATGAGATTAGATGTTGTTCAGTACATATAAATAATGTATGAAAACGGCTGAGGTGTTCAATAACAATACTAGGAATGAGTGATGGCCTGAAAGGATGTGTATGTTCCTTCAAGTCACCTGTTGATTTATGGCAACCCCATAGAATTTATATGGCTTTTTCAATCAGGTGGTTTGTCATTGTTCTTTTCTGAAAAATAGCCTACATCAATTGGTATTCCTTGGTGGTCCCAACCAGGTATTACCAGGCCTTACTGTGCTTAGTTTTCAAGATTAGACTGATCTAAGGCTGTTGTGATGTCATCATGTTCAGCACAGTATTTCTGATTGGCTAGGATCATTCAATAAACAACACAAAGGAAAGACATCAGATGATAGAAAGTCAATGAAAGAGGAATATAGGGGATGGGCTGTGTAGTTGAATATGAACAGATATCAAAAAAGAGCATTAAAAAGTTAAGGCTTCCATACATACACACTATACTACTTCTTTAGGCAAAATGTGACCTTGGATAGCATGCAGCACAACAACACTGCTTGAACTGTAAATAGATTCTGAGTAGAATAACATTGATTTTTCTTTTACTTGCAGCTAATAAATGAAAACAAGTCACTTTTACTTACTGAAAAATCTGCATCTTCTGCTCGCAAGTGATCTGCAATATAATGGACACCCTCCACAGCTAACTTCAAGGCTGGTGACATCAGCAATACCTGCTGGTCTTTGGTGCCAAGAGTCTTGCTCCCTTGCCCTGATGTGCTGGCTGATTCATTTTTTTTACATTTGCATTTGCAATGGATGGGTTTGGTTTTGGCCTGTTCCTCATTAAGATGGCACCGTGGGGAGGCTGGTGACCCACTGGATTGCCCATTGGTCTGGGATGACTCCTCTTGCAAGTAGCAGTATTGGATGCTCCTAGATCGGCAGCGTATGGTTCCTTCCTCTGCCTTCCCTGGGCTGCTGTACATCTGCTGGACACTGAGTGATCTGACTTTGGAAATGGAGCTGGATTGGGAGTCTGCCTGTGAATGACAAGGAGGTTGCAGAGATGTGCAGCTGGCCCGAATGGGCTCTGCAAGCAACATGGAGTACTGGCCAGATGGTGACTTGCACACTGGGGGCGGTAGCTTTGCCTGGTCATCAAGATGGGTGCAAAAAGAGGATGTGGGCGATTGCTCATTGCTCTGAGGGCTATTGGACGATGAGGTAGTGAATTTGGGTTCCACTTCAGTCTCGGACCAGAACCGTTGTGAGTTGGCTATTTTGTGCATGGACTCAATGAGTTTCTTGCAGTTGTCCTTGACCGTCGTTGGGCGTTTCATGAAGAGAAGACGTGGGACAACATCAAGAAAAACTTTCCTCACCCAATCTGGCATGGTGTGAGTGCGGGGGGAGCGGTGGTGAACATTGAGCACGAAGACAGTGATGATGATGGACAAGGTGACAAAGATCATGGTGAAGAGCAAGTACTCTCCAATCAAGGGGATGACCAATGAGGTGGAGGGGATGATCTCGGTGATGAGGAGAAGGAAGACAGTTAAGGACAACAGGACTGAAATGCACAGAGTGATCTTCTCCCCGCACTCCGAAGGCAAATAGAATACTAAGACTGTCAAGCAAGATATGAGTAGACATGGGATGATTAAATTGATGGTGTAAAACAAAGGGAGCCGCCTGATGATGAAGGAATAGGTGATGTCAGGGTAGATCTCTGAGCAGCACTCGTACTTCTTGATGTTGTAGTTGCCCACAGCGTTGATGATCACCCACTCTCCACTCTCCCAGTAGTCCAGCTGGTCCACATGGCGGTGCATGCTCTCCAGGTCTATCTTGGCCTTATCATAGGTCCATGAGCCAAACTTCATTGTGCAGTTTTGCTGGTCAAAAGGGAAGAAGGTCACATCAATGCTGCAGGAGCTTTTGTAAATGGCTGGTGGCATCCATTTGATACGTCCATCATAGAATAGGTGGGCTTTGGTGAGGTGGGTGACTGCAAAATCCCCATCTGCACTGTGTGAAAGAGGGAAAATTAATAACAGAAATAACAATGAAAATAATAATAATAATAATAATAATAATAATACATGTCTTATCCACCTCTATATATGCAATGAGATGGAGAACAACAGACTGAAATACAGCAAAAAAGGCCCATAGCACAGTTAAAAACATGAAGACCAGTTAAAAATACAAAATTAGTGAAAAGAGAATTGCTGTCAGTTAAAAAAAATCATACATATTAAAATAATCAATTCATAATTTGAAAACTCATAATTTAAAAACCATCTGGATAGGCCTGCTGAAAGAGATTAGTCTTTAAAATCAAACAGCTAGATTTACTTCTAGTTGTTATCAAAATCTGGTGTGCACAAACAATGAATGGGAAGAGCTGAAATTGGTCTCCAAACTATAACAGTTGGTTAGCATTGATCTATCCCCTACCAGTCTCTTTGCTTTCAAAAAACAGTTCATCAATAGTTCAGGAAAAATAAGTGTGATACAAACAGATGGATTTGTAAAGGCATGAATGTACCAAATTTAAGTGGTGTGTGTGTGTGTGTGTGTGTGTGTGTGTGTGTGTGTGTAGTATACTCAGGTAAAAGTCTAAAGGCTTTAGTCAAAAAATCAACCACCAAAACTTAGGTCAACTTATCCATGGGTCAATGTGAGTACTGTATGTTGATTCTTATCACAAAGGATCCATCCCCTTCTCTGAGTAGAGTAGCAGAAGATGAGAGCTTAGTCTGTCCTGGAAGAATTTAGAGAAGCATCAATTCCTTCTACTTTCTCTTCCATGATACCACTTCTGGTCTTTTTAGATACCTGGGTGAGGAAATGGTGGTGGTTGTGGTCATGGCAGATGAGTCTCTGAGGCAGCATTGGTGCTTTGCCTTTACTGCAGAATGACTCTCTACTTATCTACCGGTCAAGATTGGGTACGGTTGTTTTTTGTAATAATTGTGCATTGTAATTGCTTATTGGTAATTTATGGATAATGTGTTAAGTCAATTGTTCTATGTTGTATGGAACCACTGCTGTTTCTACTGTTTTTACTGTTTGTGAACCGCTGTGAGTCGCCTTCGGGCTTGAGATACAGCGGTATATAAGCAAAGTAAATAAATAAATAAATAAATAAATAAATATCAAAATTCACAATCTTGGCCTTAAAACCTGCCCTCAGTTTATACATGAGGTTGACTTATACATAAATATATACACAGCATTTGTAAAATATATTGTCACACTCTCATGTTAAGGTACATAGACATCTTTAAATGCTGAAAGGAATCCTATCAGTTTGCTCCAACTAGAGTACATATATTGAATCAATTATTCAATGATGAATCAACAGGTAGGTAAAACCCTCTGATTCAGTGGGTCTATTTTCCATGGGTAAGCAAGAGGATTCACAACACTGTTATTTCCAGAAATAATCTAGAATTGGATAGTCAATGCTCTCAGATGAAAATTTAATTCAAACAACCAAACATTATCAACTGATTTTTGCAGTTATTTCTCAATTTTCCTGTGAATATGTATGTCAGCTCCACCTGAGTGACCTGTCAGTTCTGTTGGGTTACAGCTTCCACCGCCTACAAACAATATGCCATTGTCTGCTTGCAAAAAATAAATGTTATACTCTGAAACAACCAAAAAGCCTTTATGTTGGCACATGCTTGTATCTATCCACATATGTACAATCATGCACAAATCCTGTCAACAGCTAAACACTTAATATAACAGAAGTAAGTATTTTCAAAAGTTACCAAGCAAAATGTTATACTTGGGGTATAAGCCTATTTTTTCAGTTGTTATCCCTAAACCAAGAGTTATAATTCAGAGGATGTAATACTTACTTAAATGCAAGAAATAAGGAGATTACCTCTTTGGCAGTTTCTTTTGCACAAAGTTCATTTAAAATTAGATCTTTGTTTATAGAAGTTAATGCAGCTTAACTCTGAACTTAGTCTTCTGAGGCTATTGATTGTGGCTGACTGGATATTTTCTAGACAAATACTACATATCAGTTTTAGATTTATGCATACATTACTGTATGTTCCATTCAAATTTAGGTTGGTTGGTTCATTTGCTTGTATAAAGCTGCTGGCATTGCTATAGGCAGTGGACTTCATTTGTAGTCCATAAATGAACTTGCTAAATGATTTAATCTCACAGAGCAATGTGCACAAAACCTTTTCAAACATGCAAACATTTCAGAGAAAACTCACATAATCAGACATATTGGATTTTGCTAATTATATTAACCATTTCAACAGTTCCTGCCAAGCAGTATGCATTTGCATATGTTCCTGTTTAGCATTGCTACTGTCAATGGTGGCATATAGTAGGCTTGTCCAAGCTGTGATCCATTTCAGTGTCCTGGATTTCGGTGGGGGTCCTGATTCATTTTTCAGGAGCCTCTGGAGGACAGAAATCTATTTTTGATCCAGGAAGCTGAAAAAATCATTTAGGAAGAACATTAGGAAGAATCTACTGATGTTGAGTGCTGCTCAACAGTGGAATACACTGCCTCAGAACATAATGGAGTCTTCATCACTGGATATTTTTAAGCAGGGGCAGGATGGTCATCTACTGAGAATGCACAACAGGGGGTTAGAATGGAATGTCTCCCACGTGGTCTCTTCAAACTCTAGATTTCTATGTACACACAGCTGTGACACAGCCAGAGGTGGCCCTAGGTAATTTTCAATGGTAAGCAAATAGTATTTTGGTGCCCCCCGCCCAACCAATCATTGATATATATTTTCTGTTTGTCGTGGGAGTTCTGTGTGCCATATTTAGTTCAATTCCATCATTGGTGGAGTTCAGAATGCTCTTTGATTGTAGGTGAACTATACATCCCAGTAACTACACTTGCCACATTTGCTCCCTTGTCTGGCCTGCTTTGGGTCCGGAGGCGTGCCTGAAGACCCCAGCGTGTGCACCAAAAGTCACCTCTTCTCCTGACTTTCTCCTCAGCCATTGGGACCAGAGAGAGAGAGAGAGAGAGACAGAGGTGGAGATGCCCACCTTTCCTGAAGGTAGGCGCAAAAACAAAGGAGGGAGCGGAGGTGGGAGATACCTCCAGCCGGAGGGGCTCTCTCTCTCTCTCTCTCTTGGTCCCAATGGCTGAAGAGAAAGTCAGGAGAAGAGGCAACTTTTGGTGCGCACGCTGGGGTCTTCAGACACGCCTCCGGACCCGAAGTGGGCCAGGCATGGTGGCTCCGCCCCTTGGCCCACCCGCGGATTGGGGAGAGGAGAGGAGGCGGGTGGAGCGCCGGGGGATCGGGAAAGGGAGCCGGTCATGGGGAAGGGATCAAACGCAGAGAACGATTGAGCGCCGGCTCTGCTCACGCACCCGGTGGCCGGGTGGAGCAGGAACGAGAGGGGCTAGGCGAGGCTCAAGGGCCCGGCCCCTTTGGGAAGAGGATCGCCCGGCAGCGAGGCAAGAAAGCCGAGGCTCCCCCCGGACTGCTAGGACTGTTGTGAGCTGAGGGGGCGCTCCTCAAGTGGCAGTCGAGGGGCATTTACAGAGGCGCCTCTGCGCCCCTGGCAAAAAAAGTGTTCTGTGACCGCTGATGAGCCGCCCCTGGGCACAGCACACACTCTTACATCCAGAATGTGAGTGTCTTCTAAACTGGCTATCTTTATAAGCAGAGAACAGTAATAGAATCATAGAATTCTAGAGTTGGAAGAGACCTCATGGACCATCCAGTCCAACCCACTGCCAAGAAGCAGGAAAATTGCATCCAAAGCACCCCCAACAGATGGCCATCCAGCCACTGTTTAAAAGCTTCCAAAGAAGGAGCCTACACCACACTCCAGGGCAGAGAGTTCCACTGCTGAACAGCTCTCACAATCAGGAAGTTCTTCCTAATGTTCAGATGGAATCTCCTTTCTAGTCAAACTATTGGAAGCAAATTTTTGGTTTATTTCTTGCCAACCTGACTCAGCTTTGTAAGTACTAGATTTATGACTCTTGGACTGTTTTTACTAACTCTTCTACTTCAACTGCATGGACTCTGTTTTAATTTACAGCTTCTTGACCTTGGTCTCCCTGTTGCTACAACTTCTGAATTCTGGGCAGTGTAAATCCTGGTTCAGCTTTGAGTGCAAGGCACCCCTCAACATGGCTGTATTGGAGGGAGTGTGAGGGTAGCTGAATATTGGTATCGTCATCTGACATTCAAAGCACAATGACATGAGCATCTTCTAGGACCTCCTGTGCTCTTTGAAAAGTTCCAGTGGATAATGTCAACATTGTGTGCCCACTATCACAATAATTTGGTGTTATCTGACAATTTGATAAGCATGCCCTCTATTCCATAGTACAATGTTACCACTCAGTGCAAGGGTGGGATCATGCACAACCCTAGTTTGGGATTTAAACCTGAACGTCATATCATGGGTTTGTACTGAGGCACAGGCTTATTCTAGCAATGTGGTTTTCTTAATGAGTCCGTTCTGACATTTCCCTTACAGTCAAGGACAGCAAACATTTTTGGAACAGATGGAGGTCAAGGCCAATCTCAGTTATTCAGATCTCCTCAGCTCATCCCATTCCTTGTCTAATTGACAACTCAAATCCTATCACCTCTAGCTCTGAATGCTCCATCATCCCACCCTACTAATCATATTCTATGTACTGGGAACCTCCTTTACCAAAGGCAAGTAAAAGTGATCAAATCCCTGTGCAGTTACTGTCACATTACATCTGTTCACTGAAGCAGCCCGACAAAGTTTGGTGGAATCTGTTCATTTCATAGATGTAACATCTTTCTCCCAGATGAGCTCTGTTGGAGGAAGGTAATGGGTAGGGGTGGGAGGGAATACTTCCATGCAGAAGTGATTTAATAATGTATTTCAAATTAAAGGCAGAATATACCTTCTCAGTGTGCCTTTATTTACTGATTAGCACTACTGTGTTTGCATAATTCTGAAGAATCAAGCTATTTGCATCCCACCAGTTCTATTCCCATTTCTCCAGCCTGATTCCACAATTATTTGGA